GCATATCCGGTACAATTTGTTCATACACGGGTACACGATTTTGCACTCAGCACTACGATGAGTAAAATACCTCTTTAATACATAAAAAGCCTCCTCTAAAGAAATTTTCCAGTAAGCAGTTTACAATAATTAAAGTAAAGCCCTTACCACAACAACAAAGTTGATGAAAAATGAAAATTTGTCTCACAGTGCTTTTAAAGATGATCTCATAGTAAAGGAAGTAATCTTTTTTCTGCTTTTTTTAAAAAATTTTCTAAATTGATATTCTAAAGTTTACAGAAGTTCACGAGCAGAGATTCCTAATAGTTAAAAAAAAATCAGCAGCAAGCTTGAAATTTAACGAAAAAAAAATTTTGGCTTTTTAAGAACACATTTTCCAGAATTTATACGGAATTTGAGAGACAAAAATACAGCAATTTTGCAGAAAAATAAGGATAACAGTTATTTAAAATTTAAAAAATTTTATAACCAGTTTTCATGAAATTATGTTGTCCAACGCATAAGAAAGCTTCTGGGTGGTATCTTATTCGCTACAACCGTTACAAGTGGTAAATGCAGCGTGGCCACCAAAATGAAAGTGGTCACTGGGGCTCCTAAAAAATTTTTTCACGCAGTTTTTAGCCATTTGCTTGTCGGAGTGCGCCAGAGAAGTTAATAAAATCGTTAACAAATTTTTAAAGCATCTAAATGTCTCATGATTCCAGCGTTTAAAGAAGCTTCCAAAAGAAATACTTTGAGGCCAACTTAAAGGAGGAATGGGTTTTATAATGACTCCGTAAGATACTATTTTATACTCAATGATTCAATTTATTTTCATCAACTTATCTTCAGAGACGAAAGAGTCGCGCAGACCAGAAAGTGGGACAACATTTTTGTCAGATAGAAATTGCGCGCTAAGAAATCTGTGTGGAACTTTATTATTGAGTTAAAGCGATGAGTAAATAAACTTGTGCATAATCCCGTAAGTGCCTTTCGGAAACATATATACTAATATATGGTCCATTAAATTATACTTAGACTCTGACTGTTATTTGGTTTACAAATTACAGCTTTAAAATGTGACAAAGATAAGTACGAACCAGTATAAAAATTTGTGGAGCAAAAATTATGCCAACCCGACTCATTGTTCCCATAAATGAGCTAGCCAAATTCCTAATTGCTGTTGGAAATAACTCTATGGTAGCCAAAGTTTTGGTTATATAACCCTGAGAACAAAGAGCAGCAGCGCTGAGTGTCGTAAGTCGCACAATTATTCCATTCGAGGATACAGAGTCTAAACCATAAAAACTTTTTTCAATGATAAATTTAAATTAAATCTACCTAACGATATCCAATTGAAATTATGGATTAAAAAAGCATATTGTTTTACAGTTTTCTTCTTGGTAAAACAAAATTTTTTATAAATTCTATGCTGAGATTTGACAGCAATATCCAAAAACTGCGTAACTAAACATGCTTCTCCTTATTGCTTAAAATTACTGCTTTTAAATCCACCAACTTTCTTTAAAAAAACTGAAAGATGGCATTAAAAGAAGTGGCTTTAGGGTTCTCAGGTTTGCTGACCGAGAAAATAAGGATGTGAAGTTGTTAGACAAACGATACACTATCACAGTCATTGATGATAAACTGTTTCTTCACCTACCTTTTACATGGACCACAATTATTATTCCCAAAGCAGTTATAATATAGGCGGAAGTGACAAACTGTGCCGGTTTTCTTCCAAACGACTTGATGAAAAAATCCAATTGACCGAACAAAATATTTACAAGCCACCGAAATGCCCCAAAGAAGACATTATTCCAATAAATGGATCCAGACAGTTTCTCCATGTGAAAGAGTAAGCCGTAGTTGATCAAACTTAACGTAGCACTAAAAAATTTCAGAACTGTAAATCTTAGCAAGGAAAGTCTAGTGCTCTTTAGGAAACGATTCTGCTATATTGCTTTGAAAGAAATAGAAGAAAAAACCCTCTCATTAGATCTTAATGTCCGTTTAAACAACGACTTCGGGAGTGAGAAATAAAGCCAGCCGGCCCGCAATAAAAAGCGCTAAAAAAGCAACAAGTGCTTTTGATAATGATTAGAAAGACTTAGATTTGAGTCTAGTGAGTTGTTGAGACGCTTTGAGAAAAGCGGTCATTGCAGTTCCTACTACTCTCTTAATTTTTTGAGAAAGGATATTAACGATAACGAATTGTTATACGCATTGTTTTCGCTCATTCCTAACCTAATAGGGATGAGAGCAGGCACAGAAGTAAGCGCTAACGTCAAGAAGAAAATAAAATTTGACAAAGGGAAACTGTAAAATTCTATCTTTAAATAGGGCAGCAAACCTTGAATTTTTTTACGGTGTGACATCGCATGAGAATCAAGAAGATATAATTTCAAAACTTTTAGGGTTTCTCACTGCTGTTCCTCCTGTATGAAAAAAGGTGTTTTTTTTCCATCAATTGAAGATCACTTTCGAAGAACATAAGAACCTGCATTGAACAGCTTGGCTGTTAGGAAATTTCTTTGACCAAATTTAGAGTATTGCTAAGTGATTGCGGTTACAAGTTACACACTCAATTAAGATAGACAACATTTATATTTATAAGTTATACTGTGCTATTTATCAAGTGTACTTACAATCCGAAGCCGATGATAAGAGTATTTGCAGCAAATTGCTTCGTGTAGAATAAGTGATACATATAGTGTTGCCTCGACTGCAACTCTTTTGTCTTCTATAAAGAACAATCTTTACTAAAAATCATGTGAATTACACCTGACCAGTTATCAGTAAAATTTACTAATCAGATTATTTAATCAATTGTTTTAGCAAATTACTCTCAACCTTATGTTAGGAGAAGATATTGCACTAGGTCAGTTCAATAATAAAACGTGGTTTCTGCTCGTTAATAACCATGGCGAGTACAGCATTTATTAAATGCTTTCGAGGTTTTTAATTCACAGTTTTTTTTTGGAAGATTTCTTTGGGAATTTCAAAGAAGTCGCCAGCAGCGCTGCAATGATTGCAATTGATGTTCCTCGAATGAAGTTTCTAAGAGAATTAATGATCTTTCAGTGGACTCATAAGTAAACTAGATATCATAAAAACGTAACAGGCGTCATATTAGTTGAATTCGAAAATCTTTCTTGATGTTTATCTTTTGTTTTATCAGCTCCTAATCCCATCGTTAAAGTTGTTTATTAATATAAGAATCAGAAAAATCAGTGCAAAGCTGCTAACGTAACAACGGTCCAAAGGTTTAAAGACTTAGAGGTGATGAAATCTTTAAAAAGCGGCTCTTATTTAGTATAAATTAGAATTTTTTCGCTAATACGCAATTAGTACTGTTTCAAAAAATGGCAGTTAGTAGAAAAAAATAAAGAGTAGAACTGTTGTGACTAAATTACTTGTCACAGGTCAGAATTTTTTTTTCATAAAAATTCACAAAATGCAGTTTGGTGTTATTATGTAATCCCTACAGTTTTCCTCCACTTACAAACTCGGTAAAAAGTCCATCAAGTTCTTATTTAAATTCTCTAATTTCAATCAGCGCTTTTCACAACAATCATCTTATAACCTGAAGAGCCTCTGCAGACTATACTGTAATTATTCCACCAAACAGTGATGATTAACCTATCCAAGATTGGGTCTAACTATTTGGTTAAGACGTTCAACCATTTCCCCCTAATATTCATTCCTTCCTTGGTTCATCGCCCATTTCTCATGGGAAATAAAAAACTAGTCCAAAAACAAGCAAGGAAAGAAGAACGAAGAAGACCTCTGCAGTGCCAGTCAGGCGTCGTCAATTGTGATTCCGTATGCTTCTGGGTTATCTCTCGTTTTAGTGTTTTCTTTGTCTACTGTTTGCAGATGCCAATTTACTGCCTGATGTGAAACTTTTATTTCTAAAAGTACGCCGCTACTTCCCCTTTTTGGGTGAGCCTTAACTAATGCTTTAATTTTTGGTGATTAGTCAAACGGTTTGCCCAAAAAATGATCATCCTGCGTTGATTCACCTTATCCCGCAAAACACTGCTTTTCTGTAAAAGTTTTTGAAAAATTCTTATTTAATTGTTTCGTTTCTCGCAACAGCACTATTTCTTTCTCGCACAAGTAAAAAATAGTTTCTAAAAATTTGCATTTTTGCTTCCCCAATAAGTAAAGCAAACTTAGAATTGGAAAAATGCTACGGGAGGAATGGGCAGGCAACAGGCTTCCCATCAATATGTTGTGAGAAAAAGCAAACACTGCTGTCACCAAAGCATCATTAGTTCTGTTCTTCCGCTAGAGAAGTGAAATTAACAAAATTGCAGTCTTCTAAGAGAGATGAAAGTTCAAAAACAGCTCTATGAAGGTGGAAAAATGAAGAGGAAAAAGGTAGAAGGAATGATGCTGAAATTTTTATTTTTATTTTTATTTTTTTTATTTATTTATTTATTTTTTTGCCATTCACTTTCAAAAAATATGCTGTTGCTGCACAGAAAGAATCACTGAAACAACGACTAAATTTGACGTTTAACAATGAACAGGCCCAGTTTTTTATATTAAAATTTTTCTGCAAAAGTAAAGGGAGAAGAAAGACATATTAATGTTGGGAGTAAAAGGGAACATTGGTTACGAAACGAAATGATAGCTTTGAAATACAAAACATACTTTATTTTCGTAATCAATCATTTCTTTAATTTCTTGTAGCACTTTCGTATTGCTTTCCTTTGATCTGTTTATCGATCGCATTGTTAGAATTGTCTTTTCGACCTCATCAAATTTGCCTTTCTGAAGACACCACTGAGGACTTTCACGAATAAAGCTAAATTATAAAAAATGTTTCTTTTTTTCTAACATTAATATTCAAATAATCTTTAAATCATCGGCAAAATCGCTCACCAGTACAAAAGTAATCCTGGCAGACCAATCAAACTAATCATTCTACACAGTGTTCGCCAATCTCCACTTAAATATGCTATTCCTGCATTGATAATAGCGTTTGGTGACCAAGTAATCAAGCCTGTGATCCAACCACGATGTCTTTTTGGGATGTGTTCTGTGTTGAAAACGAAAAGTACACTGCAACAGGGCATTTCTAACGAGATAAAGAATAACTGCTAAAAAATTTGGTAAATAAAAGTCATACACTAAATTTCCACCAGTGAAAATCCCAGAAATTGTTCGCCAAATTGTAAAGGTTAGCAATGAATTAGTAAAAGAAGTTATAAAGCATGTGACGATTACTCCTACCAAGCTTAGCATAATAGTCTGCAACAGTACTTTTTTATCAACTCCTTCTGTGTTAATATAATTTTAAATTCTTTTGTTGACTAAACCTACCAATACGTCAAAGCAAAAAATTCAATCAAAGTAATGATAAATTTGATAGGTGCCTTGTAATTAAATTTGTGTTCTAACAGCCACTCGGTGAACTGTTGATATCAAAAATTTGTAAAACAATGCCGGAAAATTTTTCAAAAGTAATATTGGTAAAAATATAAAACTGCCGACGAATCGCCTGCCAAACGAGTCGCTTATTTGTCCAAAACAAGCAGCTCCAGCCAAAACACCGATCATTTGCACGGAGATACTGTGTTTAACATACTGTATGTCGTCACAGAGCAGATTAAACTGTAATAATCATCTCTAAATCCATATTTCGTAAAAAGCTTCTTGATGCACTTTACGGTTACTTTACGGTTAACCTATATATGTAAAAAAGCTGACTGTTTGAAAAAAAATGATTCAGATTTTAGAACAGATCAGTTGACCAGCACTTAAAGAAATAATTTAGGTAATAAACAACAAATTCGTTGGAATAACAACCTCAACGTTCACTGAACGAAACTGATACTCCATTAATTTGGTGGTTTGCTCCCCTGTTCGATTTGCAGTAATATCAGCACAGCCACTAAAGTTAAAAGTGTTTCCGCTACTACTTTCACCATCTACAACTTTTGGTCCAGCACCTTAAACGCATTCTATAATGAAGTATACAAATAAGATTAGTTTTGTTAACTTTACATGACAACAATTTCTTTTTGTGACAACAATGTGATCTTTGCTTAGAAAAGCTTTAATAATCTCAGCTTTATTGCATTATAACTCGTTTTTTTTTTATTATTTCTATGCTCGTATAACAATAACAAAAGCGCTTTTATTATTGCTGCAGTCACTGCTTATAGAAGTATTTCTGAAATGCTAAAAGGTAAAAAGATAAAATAAACTTGACTAACTGAGAAAGATAACTCATTATGTAAAACGCTTGAAGTAAGCCATTTAAAAAAATTTACTGCACTTTATTAGCAGAATAGACCCAAGCTTACAAATAGTCAAGATCTGACGTGGTGAGAAAATTGAGCTGTGGTCTGTTAAAAGCAAAAAATTTGGCAGAATCATAAATATTTCTAGGAGGATCCTTTTTTTAACTTGAACAATGACGGTAGTAAAAGAAATACGACCTAATTTTAAAAACGTTAAAAAAAACAGTATTTTTCAAGTTTTATCGCAGTGCTCACATTCTCAGTAAGTAACTCACCATCGACACTTTCAATTAATTCAAAAAACTTTGTGTTTATCTAGTCCAAAAACTTTCTGTCAGTTATCTTTAAACTTTAATTTTAACTGCTTATAATAAGATTATTAAACTACAATTTCTTCTTGGTAAACTTTAAAAACTAAAATTAATAATAATTTCTGTTATTTAAGAGAAAAAGCTCACCAAAAGAACAGTAAATGCTAGTCTTAGTACTTAATAACAACAAATCTGACCTACCAAATCAAAAAAAAAGTTTACTAAATTAAAAAATTTTTTTTCTTGCCATTAATTTCAGTCAAAAATTTTATAAACTTTATACATTTAATTACCTGCATAAATCATAAAAAAAATATTGCTTCCATTGCATAGAACGCTAATTTCAGCAGCCAAGCAGATAAGTACAATATACCAGCCAAGTTCAACAAAGTCCTCCATACGTTTCTTCTCTACCCTCTTATCCTGATTTCCACCTAATGTACACATTTCTATGTCGGACTGACAATCAGTTAGGCTTTTTTCAGATCCAGCTTCTTTTGATTCCAGTGGAGCCATTATGAATTAAACCAAGCAACTAGAACAGACTACATAGAGATTAAAAAAGGAGATTTAGATAGTAAAAACAAATTGAAGTTATTACTTTTTATAAAATAAGATAAACAGACATAGAGAAACGCTTTAAATGTTTAATTTCAAATGTTTTTCAAATGTCCAGCTTATCAACGCAGTTTAAATTTGTATTGATATACTAACCACAGAATCATTCTTTTTCAAACACTCGGTCATCATAAAAGGAAAATACTGCAGCTGGTGTTTTGTTTATAGAAAAAACTTTTTGCTTTACAACTATCAGAAAAACTCAAAATTAAAAAAGAATAAACTAAATAAAATGAACAAATTGAATGAGATTTAGAATCATTGCCCTCTTTTCTATACTAATTATCGTCGTTTTTATTCATCAAAGTAAGTCAAAAAACAAACTGATTGTTCGTATTCAAATACGTTAAATTTGGAACCACTTAAGACTTGAACACCGCATCTGAACAAAAGGATTACTTTCAGCATTTTTTGTGTGCATTGTTACAATCAAAAATCAACCAAAAATCACAAGTTTCTTGAATCCTCAGCGAAAGAGACGCCAAAACTACAAATGAAGAAAAAAAAAACAACTCCTAAAGTTCATCGACAGTAGCAATTTAAACTTCTGCGTTGCTATATCGGTAGAATGTTTCATGATGTGAGGAACAACAGTTTTTGGAAGATTTGCGATAAATTCTGATAAAAATAGATCATTACAGCTTTGAACAAGTGGAAGACCAACGAACGAACAAAAATAACGTCAATTCTATCGGCAGTAATCAATTGCCATTTTATAAAGACAATCACCAATTTTGTTTCTTGTCCTCTTTTTTTTTTCACCTTTTTTAAAAACTGTATGC